ACACACACACACACACACACACACACACACACACACACACACACACAAGGAAGGAAAGGTTTGATCCTGGTTAAAGTTGAAGTCAAGCTGATTTGAATCTTAATACACTGCAAAAAATTATTTTCTTACTCAGTATTTTGTTTTTGTCTTTTTCAGTACAAACATCAAAACCCTAAATCAAGACACATTTACTTAAGAAGCAAAATTTATCTAAAATTAGTGAGTTGATGCTTAAAAACAGATGTTGTTTTCTTGTTTTAACCCTTGATCTGTACTGAAATTCAGCACCTAATTTGATGTAAAAAAAAATGACCAGCCTTTTAAATATTGCTTGTATATCTCTAATTATGCTATATCATCACCAAATCTTGGATCTTTCCAAATCTTGGAAAACTTCTTTTCTTTCAATTAGCATAATTAGCTGTGTTTCTTTTTGGAACTGACTGATCGTAGGCCTCATTGATCTGAGCTTATGCATTTTTGAGTGAAAAGAACATTATTTGTGGATAATTTTGCCAATGTTCACTCAAAAACTGAGGTGCACGAGCTCTGATCAATGAGGCCTACAATCAATCAATTCCAAAAAGAAACACAAAACTGTGCTAACTGAAAGAAAACAAATAGATTAAATCCAGGATTTGGTGATAATATAGCATAATGAGAGATTTATAAGCAACTTTTAAAAGGCTGGAGTTTATATTATAAACTCACTTAATTTTGATCATTTTTATCAAGAAACTCGACTTAATATCTTAAACCATTTCGTTTCTCAAGTGAATGCATCTTGATTTAAGAATGTTGAGGTATTTGTATTGAAAACGAAAATAAAGTACAAAATAAGAAAATTATTTTTGGCAGTGTAGTTTCAGTACATTATAAACATGTGGTTAAGTAGTGCTTGACTGATGTATGAAAGACAGTTTCCACCGCTGAATAAAAAATAAAACAAGGTAATTGTGATTTCACATTTCACAATTCTGACTTTTTTATTGCAATTCTGACTCCTTTTCTCAGAATTATGAGATATAAACTCACAATTGCGAGTTATAAAGTCCAGTTCTGAGGGAAAAAAAGACTATTCTTATAGTCTTTATAAGAATTGTGAGATGTGAACTCGCAATTGCAAGAAAAAAAGTCAGAATTGTGAGATACAAAGTCACAATAATCTTTTTTTATTTTTTATTCAGTGGTGGAAATGGGCTTCCATACTGATGCTTTGAGCCCTGTTGCACAGCAGATGTTTTTTTTTTTTTTTCCAATTTTTTGCTAAAAAACAAATGTGACCCTGGACCACAAAACCAGTCATAAGGGTCAATTTTTTAAATTGATATTTATATGTGCAAAAAAATCAAAATATTGAGAAAATCGCCTGAAAATGAAGTTCTTAGCAATGCATATTACTAATCAAAAATTAAGTTTTAATATATTTACGGTAGGAAATTTACAAAATATCTTCATGGAACATGATCTTTACTTAATATCCTAATGATTTTTGGCATAAAAGAAAAATGGATAATTTTGACCCATACAATGTATTGTTGGCTATTGCTACAAATATACCTGTGCTGCTTAAGACTGCTTTTGTGCTCCAGGGTCACATATGTGTCTCTAATGCACAAAATCTACATTTATACTGATGAATTTGCAGAGTACCAGATCAAACAATAGTTCATATGAGTGCAAGTAGAGACGGTCACCTTCGGGTTGAAGGCGAGCGTTTTGGGGTCATTGGGGTCGACCACAGATGGATACGGCTCAAAGATGATGCTTTTACGGGGCGACTCGAGAGCGGCGCGACACATGGCCACCAGCAGGTCCACCACCTGAAGAGAAACATCACACAACATGTACTCTACAAACACTAAACCTCAGCACACAAGACGAATGTATGGAGCTGGTGACGCACCTCAGCGCCGGTGGCCACCTCCTCAGCCGCTCCGGACATCACTCCCAGCGTGTAGAAGGAAAACACACACAGCTCTCTCGTGCAAACCGCAGGCTGCCGGGAAGAAACCGACCAATCAGAGCAAAGAACCAAGCTTCAGTCGTGAGCAAAAGCTGACGCTCACCTTCAGCATGGATCCGTTCTGGAAGACGTGCTGCTCGTCACACACCACGCAGTATTCGTTCAGAGTGGGGATGCGCTGCTCAGAGTATTTCATTATCTAACGGAGGAAAGACGGAGACGGTAATCAGAAGAAACGCTGAGCTGATGGGATCCCCTGTCACAGGAAGATCAAAGAGAATCGCAGCACAATCACAGAGGAATCATGAAGCTGTTGTGTATAATATGATGATGATGAGTGAAAAACACAAACTGGAAACTGCATTAGGATGCTGATTTTTTTTATACGGCAGCATTGTTGAATTGGTTGACACATAATACAAAGAAGTTGATGAAATATTGTTCCAATTCTAGACGCTGATTGGTCAATCCAGTGTTCCAGTTGTGCTAAAAATACACACAATACACACTACCGTAAGTTTGGGGACGGTAAGATTTTTTTTAATGCTTCTGCTCACCAAGGCTGCATTTATTTGATCAAAAGTACAGTAAAAATTTGAAATATTATTGCAATTTAAAATAACTGTTTTCTATGTGAATATCTGTTAAACTGTAATTTATTTCTGTGATGTGCAGCTGTATTTTCAGCATCATTACTCCAGCCTTCAGTGTCACATGATCTTCAGAAATCATTCTAATATGCTGATTTGCTCAAGAAACATTTCTGATTATTATCAATGTTGAAAACAGTTGTGCTGCACGATATTTTTGTGGACATTTTTCAGGATTCACAGATTAATAGAAAGTTCAAAAGAACAGCATTTATATTTATATAATATAAACAGCATTTAATTTATCTTTCATAATATTATAAATGTCTTTACTGTCACTTTTGATCAGTTTAATGCAGCCTTAATCTCTTTAAAAAAATCTTACTAACCCCAAGCAGCAATGACGTAAAACAGCTACTATGTATATCACGTTTCACAAAATCATATTTGAATGAATGTGAATGTGTCCTAAATTTAGCTGTGCTGCTAAGCAATAAGGTACGTGTTATATAATGCTATATTGTGAATATTACTGAAACATCTTTCAGCTGTGGCTATTCTTCACTCTATAGCACAGCCTCTTGAACCTTATTACTGTAATAACAGCACGGTTATGAAATAATTACAGGCTCATTTACTACATTACAGTTGCACATCACTCCGCCATGTTCCTTTTGAATTAATAACTGCAGTTTTAAGCAAAATATTTCATAAGAGACTTAAGAAACAAGAGCCTTTTAAGAATGAAAATCTGAAAAAAGAATGAAAAAAGATAAACACATATACAAGTGGTCAAAATTGTAAAACAAAATTTGCGATTCTAGTCTACTCAACATATTGTTTTATCACCCTTGGAGTGAATTAATTATCAATAATTTAGTAGACAGTTGCTTATTCGGTATTCTTATTCTTTGTAAATTTAATTTAATTTAATTTAATTTAATTTAATTTAATTTAATTTAATTTAATTTTTAAACATCAAAATAAAACTGTACATTTTTGGAAGGTGCTTTAATCCCGTGCGTCATTAATGCATATTAAAGTTTGTCATTTTATCACCTTAAATGTGCATTAATGTAACAGACTGCTTATTGCTTGTTGTTTTATTTATTTATCTATAATTTAATTTCATTTAATTTGTTATTTAATGTATAATTTAATTACATTTAATAATTTTTAATTTCTTTTCATTTGTTATTTAATGTAATTTTATTTTATCTTTAAAATTCAAAATCATGTAAGCTGTACATTTTTGGTAGGTGCTGTAATCATCTGTGCCATTAATGCATATTTAAGTTTGTTGAATTTTATCACCTTAGGTGTGCATTAATTCAGTTTTTTCTCATTTAATTTAATTTAATTTAAA